CCCTACTTTTTTCCTGAGCCACAAGTTCAACACAGTTCAATAAGAAGAGGTCTCCCATGATCTATCAATCTAATTCCCTTCATAAGGGACTAATCACATCCTTCTAAATTTCTATTGCACCCCCTACTCTGTTCAGTTCCCTGGAATGAAGGGTCACGGCCCAAGAGGAGAGAAAGTTTAAGGGCAACCATTGTCCCACTAATCCAAGGCACAATCCCACCTCTGGCCAGACAAAAACCAAGCGTATCCCTGTGCTACAGAGAACCCAAGACTTCAGAAACAAGTTGTCACTGGGAGCAGTTCCTGGGGTGCACTTCTTGCCCACCTGGAGGAGTAATGAGTGCATTGGTGGTGTCAGGAGTTAGGCCAGTCATGAGATGAGCCTCAGGAGGTAAAGAGGAGGATCTCAGGACACAAATATGGGCAAGAGGCATAGACAAGGGGATGGGTGCAAGGAGAACCTGATCCAAGGCCATGGTCTCAGCAGGAACACAAGTTGAACAAGTTGAAAGTTTAGAGTCCTATCAACCTTGGACCTCTATGAGATACCACTAACGAGTGGGAGCATTAGATGTTCAGACTCCTGCAGGAGGAGACCACCCTGGTCTTGCATCATCTCAATGGCCCAGCTGAGTCCTATGTAAAAGGCCACTCCTCCAAAGATGCTGCCCAAGATGAACCTCCTCTTTTCTGTTTTGTGTTTTCAGGTTTTTTTGCAGTTAACTTAAGCACACAAATAAAGACACAGATGAATAGTAATGACTGCCCTGTTCTCAAAAACCAGGCTCCAAAATAATCAATTCACAAGGATGCCACGCAACCACAACACAGTACTGTCTCCTGGAATGCTATTATACATTGTTTAGTCACCTTATCTCTTTCCTATAGGAGAACGCATGCACACATGAGACAAAGAGTGAGAAGGAGAGAAAGCCGCCCTCACATGAGACTGGTCCCACTGCAGTCCCTTTTCTCAACCATCCAGCACCTTCAAACTTTGGCACCCATAGACACAATTGCAGCTGTTGTGGGCCAAGGGGCTGTTGGTTTTGCAGGTCAGTTTGATAGCAGCTGCATCGCCAGGTTGAACACTTGGTCTAATACTTTCAACCACATTCCAGATGTCCTATTATTTCACCATGACCTCATCCATGAGATGATTGGTGCATGTGCTTGGGACACCTCTCCAGATCTCAGGTTGCCTCTTGACCTGCTCCTTTGTTTCTTGCAAGCGTGTAGTAGCAGAAGCTGACCTGCTGGTCCTATGACCTGCTAACTGCCTAGGGCCTCCCCCACTGGAGCTGTGAGGATCTCTCAGCTTCAGATTTTCTGAGAAAGAAAGGTATATCAGGGTTAGGAATGACATGTTGGCATGATGCCATCCTGGGATAATTGACTTAGAAGGTCCTGAATATTGCTGGTATCAACCTATTGACATTGGTCCAGCTAACTAGAGTTCAGAAATCTTGCAAGACCCATTGACTGTTTTTTCAGATGATTTCATCTGCCTTGGGTAACATTCAAAACACCTCCCTTAAGGGTAGAGATTCTTTACTAAAATTATCATCATCAGATGCCCAAGATCATGTCAATCACGTGCCAAGGAATGGCAGTTGGCAATATTTCAGTTCTGCTCTCCTATTCATGAGAAGAAACTGTTTCCATAAAGAAATACCTTCAGATGTTGTCTATCCATCCAGAAATGTGTTTTACATGCATGAATATATTGGCCTTTTTGTTCTCTTAAGTTTCATAATGATGGCCTGGTTGTCCTCCATCTTCTCTAGGTAAACAATTCATGTTTACAATCATGGTGAACTCTAAGTAATACTATAACTCACACTAATGCACCTGCAGAAATTAAATCTAATGATGGTGATAATGACATTATTGCTCATTGAGAGACTCTTCAAATAATAACAAGATACTGCAGGAACAACCCAGTAGACCAGGATGGCTTCCCTCTTTCTCTTAGGACAGTATGGACTGGAGTCATATTGCTCTTTTCTGCCCTCAAGTCAGAATAGACTATTGACCCTGGGAAGAGTGTCCCTGCAGTGAGAGGAGCATTGGGGGATCACAATTTATTATATTTAGTCTTCCCCTTTGAGTAAGCCTATACCAGATACATCAAAAAGGAGACCAGGTCCTGCGGAAGGCAAGGGCCACTTCTACCTCATTCCTGGAAGACAGGCTGGCATATCTTGATGGAAACTGATAGCCTTAGCCTCAACTGGGAAAATGCCTGGGAAGTTGAGATGAGATCCCAGGAGTCACAATCACATCTGACTGAAGCTTTCTGTGGCCACCACCCTCTGGGGAAAACAGACCCTTCCTAGAAGAATGGGGGTACCTATGGTTGCCTTGTGTCCTCACCCTGCAGTGTCACCAAGGGATGAGGGTTATGTCAGCTCAAAACCATAGAGAATCCAGGTGCCTTTCTCTCAAATTCACCCCTTTAAAAAAACAAACACCTCCACCACCACCTTACCACCCCCCAGAGAGCTCATTTCCACTCTTGAGCAAAGTTCTCAGGTATAATTCCATCCAAGTCACACATGCCTCTGGACTCTTCATTTTCGGACATCCTTGGATGAATGCAAGTAACCTCCGGTGCCATTCCAGAACTCGGTCAGTACTGACAAAAGAGAGGCCAGGCTGCCAAGCAGGCCCAACTGTGGGCAGTGGCCCAGCTTACTCAGTCAATGCAGCATATGGGGCTGAGGAAAGGGGAGGTGTATGAATCAGAAATCTTGCTCGATTTTTATTATCTCACTGAATTTACAAAGTCCTCAACATTCTCAGGATGGAGTATGAGCTTCCAGGAGAGAAGCTCACACTCATTGAGCTTTTTCAGTGGCGGAAAATGCCACGACTAAGTGCCATTGTCACCTAAACTCCTCTTTTCTCACTGCTCACCTGAGCCACTTACCAGCTTAATGCATTTCAGACAAATGGGTCTCCACCCTGTGTGGTTCTAATTCCCTTCATAAAGGCCTAATCACACCCTCCCGCATTTCCCTCCTGCCTTCAACTCTGGCCAGGTCTCTGGACTGAAAGTTCTGCTCAGTATACAGGAAGTTCAAGGGCATCCATTGTCCCCCTAATCAAAGGCGCAAACTCACCTCCACTCTGCCAGAACCAGGCAATTTCCCATGCCACTGGCAGCCCTAGTCTAGAAAGTTTGTCCCTGGGAGCAGCCCCTGGAATGCAGTTCTGGTCCAACTGATACAAGCAATGGGCCCAACAAAGGGTCTGAGATAGGGACAGCTATGAATGAAGACTGGGTAAGTGAAAGAGAGATTCCCAGGAGTGCAGATATGGGCAAGAGCCAGATACCTGGGGATTCAGAGTAGTGAAAAGGAGAGAAGTCAAAGCCCAAGCCATGTATGAGAAGAACTCCAATTGAGTTAGAGAACTTTGGTATCCTAAGATCCCTCTGCCACTATAAGAAGCTTTATACTATTGGGGGTATGCATTGTTGAGGCCTCAGGGGTAGAGGACTATCTGGTCTTCTTCATTTCATCAGCCCTGCTGGGAACTAAGTGAAAGGCCACCTACCTCAAGATGTTGTCCAAAGAGGAACCCTCTTCCTCAATGTGTTGGAAATTTGTAAAACGATGAACTTATTATACACACGCAAAATGAAACAGAGAAACAGGAATGATCCCATGTTGCCATCAACCAGGCTTCAAAATAATCAATTAATGGAAGATACTGACCCACCCACAAATAGACCATTTCCCTTCCAAAGTATTTTTCAACTTTTTAAAAGGTTATTTAACATATCCAGGTTGAAGGCACAGGTCTTCCTGAAGGGAAAAGATGATGAAGCACTCTCAAAAGAGCCTGGTCTTACCGAAATCCACATTCCTTGGCCTTTCACTACCTCAAAAATTTGGGTCCCTTTAGCAAGACATTAACGTTCTGGGGACACAGGATTTATAGCACCTCCAGTCATTTTGCTAGCAACTACTTTACCAGGATAGACACCATATATAAGGTCTTTAACCAAATTACAGACATCCTGTCATTTCACCAGGACGTCATAATTAAAGGAGTGTATAGTACATATGTTCACAAGAATGCAAGTACCTCCTAAGCTGCCGTTGTGTTCCTTGCAAGGCTATAGCGGCAGCAGCTGAGCTGCACGGCCTGAGATCTATCCATGATCCACATGCAGCTCAGGGCCTTCGCTACTGCAATTGAGTGGGACTCTCTGCTCCAGGGATAAATAAAAAGTGGTTCTAGGGAAAAAGATCAGGTGTGACTTTTCTGGCACACTGACTCCTTGGGACAATCAATAGCAAATGTAACCAATATCCCTGGTATCTGTCTGCAGTCATTGTCTCCACTAACCAAAGTTTTGAATTCTCACAAGACACAATCAGGACTTAAAACTGACACACTCTCTACTGAAAATAATTCGAATTATTCCCTGAGCAAGATAGTCCTTATTGGGTTTTTGTTTGTTTGTTTTATATATATATATATATTCAATAGTTACGTCCATCAGATGGCAAGCAATGACCTTGTAGATAGTTCAGCTCAGTTAGACTGCTTTGGGGAAAACAATGGTCCATGAAAGGAGTTCCTTCTCATGTTCTCTATTCACCTGGAAACATGCTTTCTCCATGTACATGCGTTGGGTCTTTGGTTCAACTAACAATTTCCTAATGATGACCTGGTTGCCTGACGTCTCCCTAGCTAAATTCAGACTCATGAAGAAGTCGAAGTACTATACTTACATCCCACATGTACGTGTCCACTGGGTTTCTATATTGAACAAAACTTGTTCATTAGAAGCCTCTTCAGGAGGCCGAGAATCC